ATTTTCGTGGCTCCTTATTATAAGTATACCATAATATATCCCAACAACCCTATTCTAGTTATTAAGGCCCTGAAGAATGCCAAGTGCTTTGAGTACGAAATACAATGTAGGGGCCTTAATCGTTGGAATAGGGTTTTGGGGGTTCCTTTAAAGGGCTCTTTGAAGGGTTCTACAAGGGCTACTACACGGGTTTAGGGTTTAAAGGCCTTAATAAATAGAACAGGGTTTGGGGGTCCCCTTAAAAGGGTTCCATAAGGGAAACTATAAGGGTTTAGGGTGTAGGGGCTACAAGTTCCCTACACTGTTAAAGGGTTACTTCGAGGGTTCCTTGAAGGGTTACTCTAAGGCCCCTTTAGGGGTTAATTCGAGGGTTCCTTTAAGGGTTACTCTAAGGCTCCTGTAAGGACTATTTCAGGGGTTCCTTTAAGGGTTACTACAAGGATAATGAAGGGGCCTGTATAATTAGAATGGGGTTTTGGGTTTAATATACTATATCTATACTCCGGAACCACTAACATAGTATAGGTAACTATTTTGACCCCTACATTGCCCGACGAGAAGGGTTCCGTTAAGGGCGTTGTCATGGGTTCTGTGGGTTTAGGGGACCACACGTACCCTGAGAGAGTTAAAAGCCATGAGTTACCATTAAAGGTTTCATAGTATAAGGGTACAAGTACCCTACTGTTAAGGGCCACTTGATCGATAAGGGGGTTTCCGAAAATAGGGGACCCCAATATAGTACCCTAAATACTAGGATCCTTATTATAAGGACCCCACAATAAGGTAGCCCTCATTTTCGGAAACTCCCATAAGGTGCTCCGTGGAAGAAGATCGGCCACTGGTGGAGGAGCAAGCGCCTTTGGCAGGTTTGAGAGTTAGTTATCTTTTGTTTTTTTGTCGTTTCTGTTTCTGACCCTAAACCCTACACCCTAAATCCCAAACCCTAAACCCTAAATCCTAAACCCTATAAATCCTAAACCCCAAATCCTAAACCCTAAACCCTAAACTGGAACGTATTTGTCTTTAGTAAACAGCAGTTTGTTTCAAGCCCCAGCGTTCCAAAGCCCCAGATCTGCAGCCCTGAAGCACTGAGACTATACTCTCAGGCTAACTATAGGGGCCTTGATAATTAGAATAGGGTTTCGTGGCCCTTTATAGTATAAAAATAATATAGGTTGCGGCCCCTATATTACTGCGAACAGGGCAAAGGTTCATCAACAACAATCTGAACCCTAACCCCTGAACCCTGAGCTGAATACCGAAACCCTAAAGCCGCAAACACTAAACCAAACAGCCTTAAAGCCTACACCCAAAGTCCTAACAAACCCAATAACCTTAAAGCCTACACCCTAAAATCCTAGACCGTAACTTCCAAAAATCCTAAAAGCGCTTCGCTTTCGAGGTCGCCCTGCACTTCCAGCCGGAGATAGACCACGAAGTCATCGTCGCAGGCGCAGATGGGGCCGCCGCCCCCGTCGAGGCTGTGGACTCGCGCCTTGCTCACGAAGAGGTCTCGGGTGTAGGGTTTAGGGGTTTAGGGTTTAGGGTTTAGGGTTTAGGGGTTTAGGGTTTAGGGTTTAGAGATTAGGGTTTCGCGTTTTCGACAGGGTACCTGTAGTCTCCATACCAAAAAACCCTAAACCCTAAACCCCTAAATCCTAAACCCTAGACTATGAGTCAGGATCCTATATTCTTTTTTCTGCTGAGTTCATAAGCCTTAAAGTGCAAACTTTCAGTGTAAACTTTCAGCTCTTTAGGGGGTGATCTTATTCCAGGGAGGGTCTATAAGGCTTAGGATTTAAGTTTCAACGTTTTTGATTTCAGGTTTAGGGTTTAAGTTGTTCTTGGTAAGTACTCAGCCCCTGCCTACAGGTCTTTGCATATGGGTAGCTCACTATACTAGAGTCCTTTTAGAGTCCTTGCTTAAAAGAATGCCGTACTACATCAGGGGCCTAACTACCCATGTATGTAGTATGTCTGCTTGTATGCATGCATGGACGGATGGATGTATCGTGTGGAAACATATATGTATAGTATAACGGGCCCCGAGAGCCCTATTCTAGTTACTACGGCCCCTAACCGTAAACCCTATTCTAGTTACTGCGGCCCCTAAACCGTAAACCTTATTCTAGTTAGTACGGCCCCTAAACCGCAAACCCTAAACCGTAAGCCCTGTATTTCACGGTGGAGTGAGGGTCTCTTGCCGGAAGCCTCTCAGGCTTTTGACTTGTCAACGGTCGGGTTTCGGGTTAAGGGTGAAGGGTCTAGGGTTTCGAAAGCGCTCAGGCATGAAGAGGCGCTAGAGCGGTTCAACAACTACGTGCAGGGCCCGCTGCGAGCAGCATGCTTGGACAGCATTGGTGACCTACAGGCCATGCAGCTGCGTGCACTTCGTCCCCTTTAGAACCTCATATCCGTCGCCCTTACACCATGTTGAGGTTTCCCAATGAAATAACACAGTTGCAGAACGAAAAGATGCTACCCGTATTTAGTGAGGAGTTCCTAAAGAAACTACAACAGTAATTCTGTAAAGCCTAGCTTGCCAACCCGAAACGTAAGCCGCGGAAGGCATGTCAGAAGGTTTAGGGTTTAGGGGATTGGGGTTTGGGGTTTGGGGTTTAGGGATTTAGGGTTTAGAAATCTCCTCAGAAGGAAGTGCCGTTGCACCTTTGCTACATCTGCTTCCTGCCGATGTCTTTCTATGCTGCTGTCAATGCACCTCGCCTGCAAAGCGGCTTCTTTGTCCGAGAACCAATCGAAGCCGAAGCCAGAAGCCCTAACGTGGGGACCTTAATAACTAGAATCGGGTTTAGGGACGTCCTTATTATACTGATAGCAAAATATACCCCCCAACTAATTATTAAAGCCCTTATATTAGACGTCCCCAACTAATTATCCAAACCCTCTTTTAAATGTTTCTAGGCCTCTGGGTTAGCGCCGATAGAAAAGCCGGCAAACACCTTGCAAGGTCACTCCCTTCGCCTATGGCGACTGCACCATGTCACTCTGTCATAACTGGTTTAGGGTTTAGGCTTTAGGGTTTAGGGTTTAGGGTTCAGGGTTTAGCGTTTACGGTTTAGGGTTTCGGGTTTGGGGTTTAGGGTTTAGGGTTTGGGGTTCAGGGTTTAGGGTTCAGGGTTTAGGGTTTAGGGTTTGGGGTTTAGGGTTTAGGGGAACATTTTACATTTGTATGGGTGCATGAACTCAATAAGAACAAAGATTCAGATGTTTAATACTACGGTTGATGATATAAATCCTGCATTACGCATGATGCGGAATATACCATAATTCCTATAGTTTAGGGTCCTTAAGGTAATGCAGGATTATATCATCAGCAGTATCACAAGCATGAAGCCAGGTCATACTCGACCATGGGCTTTGACAGCCCGAATCACTTGATGCTTACCTTCGCCACCTGTTCCCAGGATGCCTTAGTAGACGGCCAGGCTTTTCTGTTTTTTGGTTGAGAGTGTCATACAGTTTATGGTTTCGGTGTTTATGGTTCATGAATGTATGAATGTAGGGTTGAGGGTTTCGGCCAGAGGGTATAGGCTTTCGGGGGTAGTGGCACGGACAGGGAGGGGGTGTGATATCATGATCATTGCAAGCAACCAGGACCCTAAAGCCCCTAAAGCCCTTAACCCCTAAGCCCCAAACCCTTAAGGCCCCAAACCCTTAACCCCTAAGCCCCCAAACCCTAAACCCTAAACCCTAAACCCTAAACCCCCCTTAACCCCCAAGTTCCCAGATCCCCAAAAGCCCTTCACCCCCCTTCTAAGCCCCAAACCAATTACATCCCCATGGGGGATTAGTGCGCCTTTGGAAAGACGCATTAAGTTGGAATCTACCGCGCCTGCCACATGAAGCAAGCTTCGGGTTGTATTTGTTAACCCTATGTTTTTTCTTTTCACAGTTGGGAAGTGCTTAAAACTCGAGTTTTGGCAACGCTAGTCGCTGTTTCGGCTCTGGAGGCGTGGATGCGGTATGTAGTAAAGTGCAAGTATCAGTAGGAAGCATACACAAAGTACCACGCCTGTCACGCAAAACAGGGTTCAACATGGGACTGAGGATGTACTGAAAAAGTCTTCGTGTGACATGACATGATGTAAAAGAGAAGAATTTGACAGGGAATGAGTGTAAGCAAACAGAAAGGGACATGCTATAGGATAGCAACACATGATACATCATGTGTGATTTGTCCTCACATGACATAGTCTAAGTTTGCAAATACGTTTACTGTCTATTCCTCTGGGATGAGTAACTCTCATCTGAGCAAGTTGATCCGATGCGGTTAACCGCGATAGGCACATCTGACGAAGTTGATCCGATGCGGTTTTGGGCAGGATTAAGGAAGAGTCGTTGTCAACCAATAGGAATTTTCCTATGCTTTCACAACGATTTAACTAGTGCCGTGCATGGGTAGTAATGTGGAGATGGGTAAAAATCACATGCCATGCTGATATGGTATGATACGATAGTATCCATCCATGCCAAGGAAGCATGAATCCCGTTAAACAAAGAATGTTATTATCCTCCCCCCCCCCTCCCCCGCCCCTCCTGAAACCAAGAACGTTAAACAAAGAGCGTTATTATCCTCCCCCCGCCCCTCCCCCCCCCTCCCCCCAGCCCCAGCAGTGGCAGTAGCAAGGCAAAAAGTAGGCGCAGTTATCCCCCCATGTGCAATTACATGGTAGCTTCATCTTGGAGCAGACTCGAGCCGAGAAATAGGCTCCATTGCTCTCTACACCGACTTACATACTTGTCATAACCTTTGGGGATCCAATGACCCTTGCACGCAGGGGCCCGATCTACCCTGCTACTATGAATCCCTCTCAGGTACATGAACGTTAAGCCCGGTTCAGGTTCATTCTGTGCTGAAGGAATTGGCTTCCGTGAGAGTCGAGGTACTGCCCCAAATCTGATACGCCCCCTCGCCGTAAGGCTTACACCTCGCCCTAACAACTCCTAAGCCTATCGGCCAGCTCCTTCACCCTTACAGAGCCCTGGGGTTTAGGGTTTAGGGTTTAGGGACATGTTAAACATTACGTCGAGCCCTAAAAGAACCTTCATACCGACCCTAAGGCCCTAAACCCTAAAACCCTAAACCCCAAAGCCTAAAACCCTAAACCCTAAACCCTACAACCCTAAACCCTAAAGCCCAAAGCCCTAAACCCTAAAGCCCAAAACCCTAAAGCATAAAACCCTTGTTTTTTTCTCACTGAGAAGGCTGGCTCTGCACACAGCTGCTTGTCTTCCCAGTGACATTCCCGCTGCTCCTGCGTACGCTGCAACTCATCGAATCGACCTGCAGCAACACGGCGCCTTCGTTGTGTTTTTAAGGTTTAGTTAGGGCTTTAGGGTTTTGGGTTTTGGGTTTTGGGCCTTGTTGTTGTGTTTTGTTGTTTCAGTGGTGTCTTCATGGCTTGTTGCCGGGTCTTCGTTTAAGGGTGTGTTTTAGGGTCGCTTCTGACGTGGCTGTGGCATATATCTGTTTCAGGGTTTTTGGAAAAGTGCGTCTCCTTCAGGGTTGTCTGTCGTTTTTGGGTATATACGTAGGGTCGTAGAGTTCAGTGTAGATTAATGTAGGGGCCTAAAAAAATTACCAATACTATTTTGGGGGTTCCTTAGTACAAATATGGTACAACGTACCCCAAAACCCTACGTAATTATTCTAAACCCTAAATCCTAAACCCAAAACCCTAAACCCTAAACCCTAAACCCACCCTAAACCCTAAACCCTAAACCCAATAAGGCCCCTACATTCGGCTCCCCGGGTTTTGAAGGTCTGGGGTTCTTGTCGAAGGCTTCCTCCGGGTGAGGATTCACGGACGCCATTCGATGGTCTCTCTCCTTGTGGGGGTTGTTAGGGCTTGGGGGATCGTTGGGGTCTTGGGGTTTAGGGTTCAGGGTTTTAGGGTTTAGGGTTCAGGGTTTAGGGTTTAGGGTTTAGGGTCGGGGCTTGCGACATATAGGGTTTGGGATTTCGTCGGCTTTCGGGTGCTTGTCAGGATGCGAGTCTTTAGGGTTTGGGAATTTAAGAGCCAAGGCCGTTGTTTAGGGTTTAGGGATGTTTAGGGTTTAGGGTTTAGGTTTACAGAAAAACCGCCAACTCTATAACCCTCAACCCTAAGCCTAAGCCTTAAACCCTAAACCTGAAACTCTAAGCCCTAAGCTCGAAACCCTTACCCATCCTAAACTTCAAGCCCGATGCCCTAAGCATGGCACATTGGATCCACCCTAAACCCTAAACTCTAAACCCCGAAGCCCTAAACCCTAAACCCTAAACCCTAACCCCCCCCCCCAAAAAAAAAGCCTAAACTCTAAACCCCGAAGCCCTAAAGCCTAAAGCCTATAATTATTGAAGTAGCAGCACAGGTCCTGCGGCTCCTTCTCGGCTCCCTTGGCCGCTTGCTTGGAACCGGGCTTTGTGGATTAGGGTTTGGGGTTTGGATTTGTTGCTTGGGTTTGAGGGGGTTTGGCGTTGTTGCTTGAGGGTTTGGGGTTTTGGGTTTTGGGGTTTAGGATTTGGGGATTAGGCTTTATGGCTTAGGGTTCAGGGGTGAAGTGCACGATGCGAGAATCGCCAGGTAGACCTAAATCAGCAGGAACGAATGCCACGTCGAATCATTCATCACTGAACCCTAAACCCTAAACCCTAAACCCCAAACCCTAAACCCTAAACCCTTTAAGCCCTAAGCCCGTATGCGCTCAGGGGCCGCGCATGTCCAGAACAGGTCTGCTAGGTGACCTTGTCCCATCGGAACTTGAGCGGCAGCTGTCGTGTGTGTTTGCATTGAGCAAGTATATATGTAGGTAGGTAGGTAGGTAGGTAGGTAGGTAGGTAGGTAGGTAGGTACGTAGGTAGGTAGGTAGGTAGGTAGGTAGGTAGGTAGGTAGGTAGGTAGGCAGAGGTAGGCGGTAGGCTAGGCAGGTAGGGAGCGACATACGGAGGGGTGAGGAGGGGAGGTTGGGTTGGCAGGAAAGGTAGGTTGGTAGGCAGGGAGGTAGGGTCGTGTTTTAGATGACTTCACCTGCTTGGAAAGCAATGTATGTAGTGCACGTGAGGGCGGGGGCTATCGTCAAGCCTGCCTCCATCAAACGAGGCAGCGCGTTCGCCTACGCTTACACATTCTTCTGTGCCGGCACCATCTGGGGCGTCACCACTGTCGTCAGTCAGAGGCGCATGTTGAGTTCGTTGCTTTTTCGGATTTAGGGTTTAGGGTTTGGGGTGTTCAAGCTCACAACGGCCGAGGGTTGTCCGGGGCATTTCCAGAACTCGAAGTCAACCACAGCGACCACCCTTGACCAGAGGGCCGGCGGGTGAAACTAAAGAGCAAGTAGCTTATTCGGGATTGGGGGGGGGTTAGGGTTTAGGGGTTTAGGGTTTAGGGTTTAGGGGCCTGTGTTGAGGCCAGTGGGTCGTGGATCAGTTTAACATGAAACGGGTGTTCCTCCCCAACGACTCCGGATAGTTTTTGTTCCGGTATGCATCGCAATAAGAAACTTCATACCGCTGAGGATGCGGACATTTTTATCTAAGAAGATTGAGTTTTCAGCTATAAATTTCCGCAGCCTGCCCGGCGGGGCTGGGGCTGGGTGGGGCTTCTCATTATATGCCTTGCCTGTACAGGGCCCGAAATAATTGGCAAACTATTCGTTAGGTTCCTTATTACAATTGCTGTATATATTTGTACGTACCCCAAACCTCAATCGAAAAGGCCCATATACGACAGCGGAAAACCTCCAGCTTCGAAGAACGCACACTCCAAAACATCCCAAGAACCACAGTCAGACAACCGAGAAACCTAGAACTTGAGTAGAGCTCTAGCAGTTTGAGAGATGTTGCAGTTGAGCACTCCCTAAGCCCTAAACCCTCGAATCTACTTAAAAGCCCTAAACCCTAAACCTAAACCCTAAATCGTCAATCCGCTCCTTGCGCCAGCTACTCGCCGACTTGGCTCTTGATCTACCTTATCGTCGTCGCCTGCCTGGCGTTTCAAGCCTACGTCTTCTTTGGGAAGCGGCCCAAGCCCAGCTGCAGCTGTCGGCCGGAATGAGGGGGAGTTTGTAGGGGTTTAGGGTTTAGGGGGTTTAGGGTTTAGGGGTTTAGGGTTTAGGGGGTTTAGGGTGTAGGGGGTTTAGGGTTTAGACTTTTGGGGGTTTAGGGTGTAGGGGGTTTCGGGTTTAGGGTTTAGGGAGTTGAGGGGTTCAGGGGGTTTAGTCTAGGACATTTTCAGGTGGGCAGGTACCATTATAGGAGCCTTATTATTACTATATACCTTATGGAAGCCTTATAGAAGCCCTAAATACCCTAAACTCCCCACTTGTAGTTTCCTTTAATTTCGGGGGTTTGGGGTTTAGGGTGTATAAGACCGGTGAGTTCTGTTCTTCTTGTTGGCTCCGGGAGCAGTGTACTGGCACATTGTTCCCCCCCCCTGCTTGTCCCAACTCTCTACGAGACGTGGCGCTTGCCCCGCCTGCCCCAGAATCCTAACTAGTGTCCTTAGTAATCCTAACTGTAGCTTGCAATGCTATTTATTTGTAGTAACTTGCAGTACCGCTTAGCAGCCCTTCTCGCACCTTGCAGCACTTCGTAGGGAGTATGTACTCCCGTAACCCCCCCGCAAAAAAAAGAAAAAAAACTCAAACCGATAATTTTCCGTTGTAAGACGACGCCCTGAGAGGTGCCTGGAGCCCATCGGCGGGGACGATTCTAAGCCCATGCTGGCGTTTAGGGTTTAGCGGTTTAGGTTTTGTTGTGGTTAGTGTTTACGGGTTTTGGGATTTAGGAGAAATAAAGTTTAGGGGGGTAGGGTTTAGGGAGTTTATGGTTTAGGGATTGGGGGGTTTAGGCGGCTTTCGGGGTTTTGGGTGCCATCTGGACGGAGCATGACTGGTCACGCAGAATCCTTGATGCTCCTTGGAGATTTCAGTCTTTAGAAGGTTCTCATTCATTCTACTTCACACCGTGACGTACGACGTGCAAAGCTTAACAGCTTGGGCTTGAGGCTTGCGCATGCCCTTCCGCCTTCACTTCGGGCATCTTTGCCCTGAAATGCACTCGTTGGCGCTGCGGCGATGGCACGGGGCACCGCAGGATTTCCTACTCCTGGAGGAGCTAATCGGCACTCCCGGGGGCAACATCACTTGATGAGGATTCTCGGCATGTGGCAAAAAGCAGTGCATGTGCAGTGTTCAGTGTTTGTTCATGTCCGCAGTAGATCCGTCCGGGACTCTTCCAGAAGGGGTGTATCATAGGAGCTACAGCTTCTGTCGTCCCGAATGCCAGGCGATGATGTGAAGCTCCCAACCTAGGGCGGGTAAGTAGGTGTACCTATAGTCTCCATTGTAGTTCGTTTTTTTTCGGTTTAACAAATCCCATGTTAAGAATGGTAAACGGTAACCCATAAAAGGAACTACAACGGAAACTATAAGTATAGTCCTGGTTCAAGAAGCACACCGATCGGGGCCAGTCCAGACGAAGCGAGGCGATCGCAGGGCATGAAGGTCCGAAGGTCTGCCTGAAATTGACAACGGGGTTTAATGTAGGGGCCTAAATTATTACCAACACGATTTTGGGGGTTCCTTATTATAATTATAGTATAATGGGCCCCAAAGCCCTATTCTAATTATTAAGGCCCCTATGTTACGTTTTAGTGCCGGTGTGGAGCTGGGGGTTCTGGGCACCGGAGGCCTGAAAGGCCCTCCAAGAGATTCCGGACAGCTCCTGAGCCTTCTGATTCCGCGGGGGGGTTTAGGGGCTGAGGCTTTATGGGGTGAGACGAGTCTGGGATTTCTTTTTCTTTGAACGCCTTCTTCCGTCTTGCAAGAATCCGGGGTTTCGGGGTTCAGGGATTAGCTATGAAAGAACGAAAGCAGTCACCAAGCCAGCTTGGGCCTTTCAATAAAAAGGATGCCCCACCGGGTCGGCCTCGCAGGGGAGGACAATGTGTTCCACGCGTCCTTGTCCTGCGTCTTGCAGCTTTTGATTTGGGCAGTATATAAGTATGTATAGTACGTATAGTATGTATAGTATGTATAGTATGTATAGTATGTATAGTATGTATAACATATATATATATATATATATATATGTATATATATTGTGTATATATAGAGCTTGTTGGCATGTCAGGCTCGTGCTCTAGGTATCAGTGAATTGGAGCTTTCGCTCGCAGTGCCGCCTGGGGAGAAGATTTCAGTTAAAAAGCTTCGTAAGGCACATAGGGCTGAGGGTGGAGGTGTTTGGTGCTTGAAGTCCAGACCGTGTCGAGTGCGCCAAGATGCAAAGTCTTTGGGTCAGAAGGGCAGAGTTGGCGAGCGCGACAGAGGGCCAAGCAAGGATAGGCACAATGAAGAAAAAGGAGACCTGCTTCTTGCAGTGTCGTTGCCTAAAATTTCTTCTTGTTCCGTACAAAACCAAATCTCGGAATCAGTCTGTACGAACCCGCGCAGTTACACACACTCTCGCTCTCTCTCTGTCTGACAGTGTGCGGAACATGTTGAAAACATCTGCAAACGACCATGCAATCCTGCCAGACCCTGCCATCCCTTCCCTCGCCATCTTTCCAGCAGTAGAGCAAGCGGATGAGCGTTCCTCCTTCCTACTCGCTCGCGTGTCTAAGCTCTAGAGCCCACCCTCGATGAGCCTGGATGCACGAATGAAGGCAATCGCCCGAACCTAGTGGAATGCATTTTTTTGACAAGTGAGTATCCAGGGCAGCAGTTTCCTTTAAGATAGAACTTGCATAACATACGGTCCTCCTAGCCTTCATGGAAGAGTGACTTCGGAGCCCTTCTGCTTTCTACTCTGGCCTAGCTACCGCAGTCCTGCAGCCGGACCTTACCGTGGAGGATCCGCGACTTGATCCGGTCCTTCCGCTCTCAGGTCGGGTTCAGGGTTTGGGGTTTGGGGTTTGGGGTTTAGGGTTTAGGGTTTAGGGTTTGGGGTTTAGGTGTCACCGTGAAGCAGCGTGTGGGGCTGCACTTAGGGATTCACCGTAGAGCCATAAACTATTGAAGTAGTCTCCAAACGAACGCCCACCTTAGTTTCACCCTGGGTTCACTGACTGAATAAGGTGTACAAGGGACAAAACAAAGCTATGACCCTAAACCCAAGCTTCGCGCCTACTGTGGTGCAGGTTCTCAGCAAGCAAGGCTTTGTGTTGGCTCCAGTATCATATTCATACGCATACAGATAAGCCTTAATAAGTTTCAGCGATCAAGGAACCCTGCAAGATACTGGTATTCAGGCCCTCAATTACAACTGCAGATGCTACGAAGTACAGCAGTTTGAGAAATCGAAAGTAGTTCCGAACTCGTAGTGCGATCTCTGTCCCGGGCGAATTACAGGCTATGCGGGTGACATAACTCATAAACCAATATCTCACAGGGTTTGGGGCTATCCACGCGGCCTCATCTACAAGGCGACGAAATCCTAGACTGAGTTGTAGTTTTGGGGCCCTGAAAAGTATTTATGAATAGGTACCTCGATAGAAACCATAAGGGAAATTTTAAAGTTTCCCAAATTGCCACCTAGTAGATAGCACTGCAAAACAAGAAACCCCGCATCCCGAACCGAGCCCTCCCTTCACGGCGGAAGCCTCACCGGTCCTCGAAGTGCTGGGCCGTCAGCGGGTTGAATTGCAGCTGATCTTGAAAAGGCCTCGAAGGTCAGCGTGTAGTAATGGCTTCGGGTTGCAGGGGTGTAGGGTCCGGAGAAGTCGCCCCGCTTCCTGGATACAGGGTATGGGGGTTCAACCCCAAACACAGCAAGCAAGCACACAGATTATAGGTTTCCCCGCCTGGTAATACCCGAAAACCATTGTACCATCCGTGTTTTTGAAAGGAGGGGGTCCGGGATGTCAGGCCGAGATGCAGATATCCTGAAAGGCATCGGAAGACAATGACGCCCAGGCTCCAGATGTCACACGTAAAGGTGTACCTTGAACTGACAAGGCTTGTGGCACTGCAGGGCTCATGATGCTTTCTGTGTTCATGGCCCAAAACTCCATATTCTGAATGCGAAAGCACAAATTCCGAGAGTGTGTTTCGTTGCCGGGATTTGTGCTAGTTGCCCGGGCCAGGTCTGTTGCTCGTACTGGTGCTATCAAACTTAGTGGCCGACGGCTTCGGAAGGTAGCCGGTCAAAGCAAGGTAAGTAGCAGCTCAACAACCATCAGCCTCAAAAGGCCCATAGGCAGAGATGGGCCG